GCATTCAGAGGCTGGGGTCATTTCAGATGAGTGAGGACGAGCTCAGAGTCAAGGCTCTGTGGAAGGAGACTGATGGAAGCAGGAATCACTCAGGGTCTCTAGGAGCCAGCTAGAGTGACCCCCACAAGAGTGATGACGACATAAACCTGGAATTGCACGTTTAAGAGTCAGAGTGCACACAGATGGGCCTCGTCAGCAGTGTCTTCAAGTTTCCCGCAGATGGGAATGTCTCTGTCGGCAGGGCTCGTTCTGCACATCTCTCCACTGCTCCCCGGAGTCAGCTTCATGCTTTTACTTCGCCAGACGCTGGCATCTGTTGGGGCCTGTAGCTCTAGGGCCACGCTGAGCCAGGGAGAGCTGACCAGTGCTGCAGAGGGTTGGTGCCTGGTGTGGGGGTGAAGGAGTGGAAGCAGGAGCCCGAGGTGCCAGGTCTGGTGGGGTCAGGGCCCCATGTGAGGAGGTGTGTGATGCCTTTGGATCAGGTGAAATGGAGGCCCTGCGGGAAGCCTGCAGGTCGGCCTCGCTGCCGCTGTCTCCCTGAAGCTTCTGCCGTCCCTCCCTGGGAGGTTGCACAGGCCCTCTCCGTGGCCTCCCGCATTTCCAGCCTGTCCCCTTCCTGTGCTTTCTCCTCATTGCTGCCCAACCAATGATAACAAAAGGCAGATGAAATTTCACCTGGCCTTGCATTGACTCCCCACTACCCTCAGAGAGCACCCCAACTCTCCAGCACCCCACGTGGGCTGTGCACCACTGGCCCCTTCTCTGGCCTGTCCACCTACCCTGGCAAACTGCTTGCAAGTCCCCAGGCTTGTTCCTCTGTTTAGTATGCCCTTTTCTTCCCCAATCCCTATGCCCGATTTGCACTGCAGACTCTGCTTGACCTTGAAGCTCATCTGTCGCCTCCCAGAGGCCTTTCTGGCCCCGCTCTGCTGCGCCCTCTCATAGCACAGCTGCCATCATGCCTCTCTCCCCCGACCTTGCCAACTCGCATGTGCTGTACCGCAGAAGGCCCTTGGTTTCTCCGTCCTGGTTTCTAATTTACATTGAAAGCAGGTTCATCTTTTCTTCCATGCTCTGATACATAGCAGTATCAAAGACCTGAAACTAAACCCAGCATGTACTGTATTTTAGGTTTCTTCATTAGACCATTTTACAAGATGATGTTGGGAAAGCAGATAACCCTGAATGACATGGAATCTGTGGTGAGTACATGCAGGTCACACGCTGGCCATCGCCGGGCACTTATGCTTTATGGGAAGGTACTGGAGAGCCACGTTTGTAGTCTCAGCCACGTTTGTGGGTGCTTCATTCCATGTGAACAACAGGAGACATTTAATTGCTTGAAAAGTTCATTAATCTACCTAATTCTTGTAATAAGCAAATCATTGTTCACATTTCCTGGGATCATGGTACCTAGCGTGGATACATCCAAATCCCAGTTGCCTGTGCGTACTAAATCCGAGACAGCTGAAGATCTATTGTAGCCTGAGTTTTCTATAAAAACTGCCACTACTAAGACCAGGTGCAGTGGCTCACGCCTATAATTGCAGCACTTTGGAAGGCTGAGGCAGGTGGATCACGAGGTCAGGAGTTCAAGACCATCCTGGCCAACATGGTGAAACACCATCTCTACTAAAAATACAAAAATTATCCAGCCTTGGTGCTGTGTACCTGTAGTCCCAGCTACTCGGGAGGCTGAAACAAGAGAATTGCTTGAACCAAGGAGGCAGATGCAGATGTTGCAGTGAGCCGAGATTGTGCCATTGCACCCCAGCGTTGTGACAGAGCGAGACTTTGTCTCAAAAAAAAAAAAAAAAAAAAAAAAAAAAAAAAAAAAAAAAAAAAAAAAAAAAACAAAAAAAAAAAAAAAAAAAAACCTGCTACCACTGAATGTTGAGAGTTTCATCAGCTGTCCCTCTTCCTCACCTCATAAAAATGGCAGAGGCAAAGGTAAAACAGTAGAAGAATTTCACACAGACATCCTAGGCATAGATGAGTGATGCTGCCACTTAGGCAAGTGAACACTTGAGACGTTCTCCAAGCAGTGATTTGGGTTTTCATGCTGCATTTAACATTAATGTTACCTAGACGGACCATTTTAGAGTTGGAAGGATTTTTTATAAAACAAAAATTGATATTCTTTTTCACTTTCCTTTTTTTTTTAACTTTCGCTTTTTTTACTTTTGCTTCTGTTTTTCTTTTAATATACCCATACTCCACATCTACATCCAGAAGGGATGGGCGTTTGCCCACACGCCAGCACACTCACAGGGCCACTGAGAAGCGTGTTTGTCCATTTGGGGTTTTTGCAGCTCATTTGTGTTTGCTCACGAATTAAAAAGCCCCTGCATGACTTCACCCGGCTGTGGTACCAACTATATCTTGGGCACAATTGGATAGATGAGCTGCATCCTCGGCCCTGACCAGCGCTGACTCAGTGTTTCTGCCCCTCATTGTATGAAAAGAGAGGAAGAGGCCATCAGTGCCCTTGAACCCGCTGCTGGTTTGTTAGTCATGGTGGGTTGGGATGCACATCCATGATTCCAGTCTCCACTGTCACCTTATATTTGTGCTTTCTGCTTTCATCGCCGTATGGTGAAAATGCTAGGAGCATAGGAATTTCTCTTAATTTTCTATCACGTGCCGACAGTTAGTGCTTAAAATACAGCGCATGTACTATTTTCCCCTCTTCCAAGCCCGTCGTGTTTCCAGCAGGAGACACCACGGTAGGACCAGGACTGTGACTGTGACAGCCGCTCTGGATTCTGAAACCAGAGCGGCCATCCTTTTTGCTGACATTAACTTGCAGAGTGATCAAAGCACAAGCAAGGGCATAACTTAAAACTATTGGTATTTACTTAAATGAAACATTATTTTACTTATTTATTTTTTTTGGAAACAGAGTCTTATTCTGTTTGCCAGGCTGGAGTGCAGTGGCACAACCATAGTTCACTGCAGCCTCCATCTCCTGGCTGAAGCTATCCTCCTGTCTCAGCCTCTCATGTAGCTAGGACTAAAGGCACACACCACCATGCCTAGCTGATTTTTAATTTTTTTTGTAGAGATGGGGTCTTGCTGTGCTGCCTAGGCTGGTCTTAAACTCCAAACCTCAAGCTCTCCTCCTGCCTTAGCCACCCAAAGCCAAGGGTTACAGGATTATAGCCATGAGCCACCATGCCCAGCCTAGAACATTCTTTGTCCTTCCTAATTTCCTCAGATATTTTCACTCTATTTTAAAACTTTATTTTTTATAGAGACAGGGTCTTACAATGTTGCCCAGGCTGGTCTCTAATTCCTGGGCTCAAATGATCCTCCCACATTGACCTCCCAAAGTGCTGGAATCACAGCCATGACGTTTTCACTCCAAAAGGATAGAAAGTATATTGACCAGCCTGGCCAACGTGGCGAAACCCGGTCTTTACTAAAAATGCAAAAATTAGCCAGGCATGGTGGCATGTGCCCTTATTCTTAGCTACTCAGGAGGCTGAGGCAGGAAAATCGCTTGGAGGAGGAGGTTGCAGTGAGCCAAGATCACACCATTACACTCCAGCCTGAGTCACAAAAGGGAAACTCCATCTCAAAAAAAAAAAGAAAGAAAGAAAGTACACTGATCTCTGGTATGTTAAATTTTGTGGACCAGTACGGCAGGCAGCTTCATCCACATCCAGAGTAGGTCCCTTCCACTGGGTATTACTAAGGACAGGATTTAACTGCAACCCCAGTGCAACCAAAGCAGTTTGTTTATATTTTAAATTAAAGATTTGGTTTGGATGGAGCAGGAAACATTGCATTAATAACGTAATTCTTGAGCATTCCGCGCAGAATTACATTAGAACCTAATTATTTAAAGGAGTCAAATGAGCTTGTATTTTGGGGGAAAAAATGCTGAATTTCCTTCCTGTGTCATTTCTGTAGGATAGTGAATATTACAACTCTTTGAAATGGATCCTGGAGAATGACCCTACTGAGCTGGACCTCATGTTCTGTATCGATGAAGAAAACTTTGGACAGGTACGTGTGGGTAACCCTGGGAATGCTTCTTTAGCTTTCAGGGGTTATTTTCTTCTTGACAGGCTGTAACACGACTTTGCTGGACAATTAGAAAGAGCCAGCAGGAGCTGTAGGTGTTAATTATCATCCCATTGGAGCAGTACCTTCTTGGCAGGCCGGGAAACCACACTCCAATTACAACCATTTCTCTCTTCCAGCAAAGTGACAGAAATTCCAAGAGGCCTTGAAGGCATGAACTAACACCTCTTGTAATCCAAAGCAAATGTGAACGTTTCATTTGTGCCTTGGTTTTAGAATTTAGGTACTTTAAAAAATAGTGTGATTGTTGACTTAGCATTGTAAATACACGACCAGGAGCAGGTGATGTTGGAGGGGCCTTGGTTTTTCTCTCTGTTTTATGGTTCTGTTGTCATGGCGACATTTGTCTTGTGGGGCTCAGCATGGCAAGCTCAGGTTTTTCTGTCATTCCTTCTGCTTTGCCTCCACGCTGTTATTCAGGCTGGATTAATCCTCAAAGTCAATTTCAGACTGGTCAGCAGGGATTTGGTTGGACCACTGAAAGTGGATTTCAAAGATAAAGTTGCCTGCCTTCTCATCATCCTGGGAATCTATCAGATGTATTTGTCTCAAATCTGAAGCCTTTGCTTCATCTGCCACCCAGGCTTGGGAGGTATTCTCAAGATATTCTCTCACCCTGGTACTTGTCCTTCCATAAAAGCCTAGAGATATTTCCCACCTCTCAGACTAAATCTCCATTGCTGTGAAATAAATTAGACCATAGAACTCCTTGTAAGGGTTGCCATTGGAAAAAATGAAATAGACTTGTTTTTTTATTGCTAGATCTCAAAGATTGCTAGAGAATCTTTGCGAAGAGAAGCTGATGCCACTAGATATAAAGGATTTGATGACAACTGAGAGTACAAATTTTTTAGAAAATAATCACTTAAATATCAGAATCACTTGTTATTCCCATGTCCTGTGGTTGAGCCAGGAACCTTCAGTCACTAGTGCAAGTCCTGAAGGTGGGTGGCACTTGGAGAGTCCATGGTGCCCTTCAGTTGGCTGGGGGAGGCTCAGAGAAGGACTTCACACACGAGAGGCGAGAGACCTGGTGGCTTAATGTAATGATCAAGTCCATTACAGACCTTTTGTGCCCCCTCCACCGTGCCCCTCCCTTTTTTCCCCCTCTGTATTGTGCGTTATGCCTAAGAATCCTCACAGACAGACAGACACTGTTCTTGTGATGGGACAGGGAGGAATCTTTTCAGCTGCTGCCCCTCCAGGTCTCCAGTGGCCTCCCCAGGACCCAGAGCACCATGTGTCACCAGTCCTGTCTGCCTCGTTTCTCTGCTGCCTTTGACACCAATGGCTCACTGCCACCAGAGGCGCCTGCAGGGCACAGTGCCTTTCCCACCGGCTCTCACCCCTCCCTGCTGATCACCAGTCCCTGGAAGCACTAGCTCCTCTGCTGGCCCTGTGGATGCAGGTGTCACTCTGCCAGCTCTCCTCCACCCGCTGCTTTTCTGTCTCGCCCATGCTATCTGGATGTCCTCATCCTTCCCGTGGCTCCAGCCGCATCTGTCTCTGCTCACCACCAGCCTCTTATTTCAAGCCCACATCTGCCTTCCGGCCTCCAGCCTTCCCAGGTTTGACCGCCTCCTGAACTGCTTCTCCTGAAAGGCTCACGGGTCCCAGTGCCAAAGCCACTTCTTCCTCCCCAGCCTCCACATCGGTTATGGTCTCATCAGTGTCACCACCCTCCCTTCCCACCTGACACTTGGACGTCACTTCAGAATCTCCCTGTCTCCTCATGCAATCTCCCCATGCCCCAGGGTGGCTCTGTGCTGTGACTCCCCCTCCTTGGCACGTCCCTGTCTCTGCACTGCCCTGGCCCATGCCCCGATTACTTCTTGACTGTACTGCCCTCACAGCCTCCTGTTGGCCACCCTCTTTCCTATTTTGCCACTGTCTACCCTGTTCTCCAGTGCCGCCTAGCTGTGTGCCCCTTATAGAATATTTCTGAAATGCAGCCCTGAAAATGTCATTCTACTTGGCCATCTCATGACCTTCAGCATAAATGAAAACTTGTTAGCATGGCATATGACCCCTCATGATCCAGACCTGCTCACCCCTGGCATTACCCTCTGACACCTCCTTCCTGTCACCCTCTCAACAAACCATGTGGCTTTAACAGTGTCCCCAGAGATGCCTCGGTGCCACATTGCTGGCTTTACAGTGCCCAATCTGCACCAACACATTCTCATTCTCTCTTCCGACGCATTCTCCTTTTCTCTCCCATCACCTCTTTCCCTGCCGTTCTTGAGGTACTGGCTGACTTGTGGGCAGTAAGTCCCCTGAGGTCTTCTGGGTCTTTCCAGTGCTCAGCATGCAGTTGATGCCTGCTAAGTGCTTATTGAGCAAATGAATGAGGAATGCTAACCTGGCTTATTAAAAATGTTACTAAGGTTGTAGGTAATAGAAATCCTAAGTATGAGGAAACAAGATCAGTTGAATCGTAGTGGCTTTTCTTTTTAAAAAGCTGGACCTATGGAAGGGTCTTAAACTGCCAATTTCCAAACAATTAGACACAGTTAGTCACCCTGGAAGTATCTTCCTTTCATTTTTAACATATGAAGGAAGGAGTGGAAGTCAAGAACCAAGGAAGACTTAAAATCAGTCTTGTGTGTCAAATGCATTTAAAAAGTCTTTTTGTGGATCCACTCATAGAAAACTGTATGGCCAAATTAACCCAACAGAAAACCATTAGCAGTGCTACAGTCAGAAGCAAAGGATCTGGGAAACCTTCCTAAATTGTAACTGTTTCCACCTCATAAATGAAAATTAAACACAGGATGTTGGGGTTTTTAAGCAGGCTTCTAATAAAGATTCTAATGGTCGTTTAGGCCAGATCTTCCTTTAAAACAGTTCTCAGACTGGGCATGGTGGCTCACACCTGTAATCCCAGCACTTTGGGATGCCAAGGCAGGCAGATAGATCACGAGGTCAAGAGATCGAGACCATCCTGGCCAACATGGTGAAACCCCGTCCCTAGTAAAAATACAAAAATTAGCTGGGCGTGGTGATACACGCCTGTAGTCCCAGCTGAGGCAGGAGAATCGTTTGAACCCTGGAGGCAAAGGTTGCAGTAAGTAAAGATCACACCACTGCACTCCAGCCTAGTGAAAGAGCGAGACTCCATCTCAAAAAACAAAAAAATTCTCAGACTGCCTTGTTTAATGTTGTGAATTCTGACCTTTGTAGGATCAGGTAGAGTAATACAGTAATCAAAACAGACCCATTAGATGAGTAAGATAAAAATTAGATGCCCAGTTTGTTAAAACAACTGGCTTTCCTTTTTAAGAGAGCTAGCCTGATTAATGGGGAACTAATGTATTTATTTTGCACTCTGGGAAGGAATTGAGAGCGAGTTAGCCATGTATGGATGGATCTGACCTCCCACATCAGGCCCATCAGCAAGCCTTGTTCACACATCTCCCAAACCTTTCTCAATTCTGTGCATTTTCCCGATCTCTAGCTCACACCCAAGTCTGAGCTCCTGTCCTCCCCCTAGACTCCTGGCTGGTCTCTGTACATCCAATTTGGCTTCCTGTAATGGCACAGTGGTCTTTTTGGAATATAAAAATGCATATGTCATTTCTCTGCCAGAAACCTTCAGGGATTTCCCCCTGACCTCGAGAGAAAGACCCCAATCTTGCTTTGTGCCACGAGGTCCTGTGTGGCCTGGCTCTGCCTGCTCCTCCCCCACACTCGTGACTCACACGCCCTGGCCCTCTGCTTTCTCTTCCCTCTGTTGAGAGCACACGCCCTCCCACTCTCAGTTCAGATGTCCCTTTGTCCCTTCGTCAGGGAAGCCAGCCCTTGACCCAGACCCTGTGTATCTTCCATGGCATGAACCACAGAGACTTTGCATTTGTTTGTCTGAGTACATTTGTCAGGACGTTTGTCAGCAGCGTCTGTCTCTCCCATGCAGCGTCCTCCTGGTGATGGCGGCCACATGCCTGTCCCGTGCTTACTTGCTGTTGTGTACTTCCCACCAGCACATTGCCTGGTGCATGGTGGGTACCTGAAGTATAGTTGTCGATGTGGAAATCCAAGCATTAGCGTGATGCCCATGCAGGCCCCTCAGCTCGCTGGCCCTCTGCAAAATGGTTGACTCTGACCCAGAAGGAAGCCCATTCCTCCCCATTGCCAACAGTCAAGTCACTTTCTCAGTGGGGCAAAGTGAGTGCAGTTGCCATGGGGTGAAAGACATGCAGTCAGCCTTCCACGGTGTTTCAAGCTTCTTTCAAATTTCACAGTTAGAAATATCAGACCATGAAGTTTCGTAGCTGTTGCTTCGTGTAATGAAACTGCAGCTGTTGCCATTATTTTGCAATTTGTTTTCTTTCTGATTGGTAAGAATCGGGAGCTGCTGGTTTCTAGGGCCTAATATGAAGGTTTCCACTGAAAAAAAAAGTCAGCATTTGAACTATGATCCTGTGCCAAGCAGGAAGAATAAACCATACCCCCATTCACTGCTGTGTACACTTACCCGCTCCCACCAGGACGAGGGGCCCTTTTAGAGGTATAACATATAAAAATTCTTTATTGCAAGTTCAGCAGAGCAACGTCTGATTTGGTTGTAGGTTTTTTTGGTTTGTTCGTTTTCTGAAACAGTCTTGCTCTGTCATCCAGGCTGGAGTGCAATGGCACGATCTCAGCTCACTACAACCTCTGCCTCCCGGGTTCAAGCGATTCTCGTGCCTCAGCCTCCTGAGTAGCTCGGATTACAGGCACATGCCACCATGCCCGGTTAATTTTTGTATCTTTAATAGAGACAGAGTTTCACCGTGTTGGTCAGGCTGGTCTCAAACTCCTAACCTCAGGTGATCTGCCCGCCTCAGCCACCCGAAGTGCTGGGCTTACAGGTGTGAGCCACTGCGCCTGGCCTGATTTGGTTGTTTTGAAGAGGTGGCAGAGTTTTTGAGGGGCTGTGCAGTAGTAGGGGGAGGAGAGCATGGGCAGCAGCCATATAGGAAGGTTCTTTAGGATCAGGTCTGGGTCAGCTTGAGCCAGTCTCCATGGGAACAATCACCCGAACGAGGCAAAAATGGATTCTTGGAGGAGGAGATCATCTCAGACGTTAAAGTCGTTTGTGGCCCTCCCAAAAGCCACAGCACATACCACCGGTGTACTAGGAATCTCTCTGTTAAGACTTCGCAGAGGAAGGTGGGCCATTGGCAGAAAGAATCTAAAAAGGCTCCTTAGGGGGTGATAATGAATTAAAAGGTTGAAAAACACTTGGGGGAAGGCAGTGAGTGAAAAGGCAGAAACAGTCAGTGTGAGGGAGAAAGGTGACAGCAGACTGCATCCTGGCCGGAGCCGGAAGGAGCCAGGCCAAGAGCCCAGAACTGGAGGTGGCTCCCAGGAGGGTGGCGGCCCCAGCCCCTCCAAGCCAGTCAGGGACACACAGGGTTGGCACCTAGGGAGACGACAAGTCAGAAGGCTGGCATGGACTCGCTGCCTCCGGGCTACCAGTAGTTGCACTGATGTCTGCTGAAGAGGCTGGCTAGGTGGAGTGATGGGGGTGCAGGGCGCCGACTGCCCCTGAGGCCATGCCTGCAGGATCTGTGAGCACCATCAGTGGGTATTTACCCAGCAGTGCTTGGTGTCCAAGAGTGGAGTCTGCCAAGTGGACAAGCCTTGCTCCACCCGAGTCCAGTATATATCCATCCTGTTTCTCAGTAGCCTCCCAGGCAGTACAGAGCATCTGTGGAGAGTCAGAGAGATGTGTGGGAATCGGGTTGTTAACTGGCCAAGGCGGGGAGTCCCCCAGAGGTTCCTCTGATCTCTGCAAGGAAGAGAGCCAAGTTTCTGCGGGGCCAGGAGATGTAAAGAGAGGAATTTTCTGCTGCAGTTTTTCCCCACAAGCGCTTGCTGAGCACCTGCTATGGCTGGGCCCTGCGTTCCTTGTGTGAGGTCCTCCAGGAGTCCAGGCACAGGCAGGCGATGCCCCAGAAAGCCCAGAGAGAGGACTGTGCATTTCGTGGCTGAAGGTGGCAAGAATCCACGCCACAGAGGAGCCACTGCAGACTGCTCACCAGGGAGCAGGGCCCCTGGGTTCCAGCACCAGCTCCATCTGCGGTTCGCTGTTTCTCCTTGGTCACCTTGCAGGGTCTCTGCCTCCTCTGGGATGCTGGCCACCCTCATGTGGGGCCAGGGCACTGCCACAGCATCTGTGGGAGATGTGTGCGGTGGAGCGCGGCCCTGGTACGATGCTGCCTTAACTTCTCCCACTTAGGGCTGACAGCTCCATGTCGCGGTGCCACCCAGCACTCCGTGCTGAAGACATGCAGTCCCTCCCCTCCTTTGGTGGCAACGGCTGACGTTAAGAAGGCACAAATATGGGGGAAAGGAGAACACAGGCTGTGTTAGAGCAATGGACAGGCAGGAATGGAGGCCTGCAGGGGTAAGAGTCAGACAGCTGCTTCTCCAACCCCCGTGGAGCCTCATGCCCAACCAGCAAGGACTCAGGGGCACCAGCTGGTGGCAGTAAGGCAGTGTGGCGGGCTGGACACCACACCTGCACCACAGGAGATGGTCTCACCCTCAGCCCCCAACAGCAGCCTTGGACGCGGAATTTGAAGAGTGATCATTGCTTTTCATGAAAATGTCGCCTGTAATAAACCCAAGAGGGATGCATTTCTGTACCACTGAGGGCTTGAGCCTGGAAGCATCGGGATCTGGGGGCTTGACCCCTAACCCAGTGGCTTCGGGAGCAGAACTGCAAACGCCCCTCCTCCTGTGCCCGTCCTGGGGCCCTCCCCTCACTCCCCCACAGAGGAACCCAGGGTCAAAATCAACCATGAGACTGGACGGCTGCCCACAGGACGATTTACTGCTGTGACCTCATTATTTAGCCTGGGTAGAATGGGCCCATTTTTCTTTTCTTTCAAAAATTATTAGTTTATCTATAAAATATTAACCTTCATAATAAAAATAAAGCCAGTTTAATAAAAATATGTAAAATAAATAAATGTCACTTATTCCCAGTATCCCAGGATTAAAATTTTTAGATATATCTTCCAGAATTATTATTCGTAAGCACAAACACAGATTTTTTTTTTTTTTTACAGAAGTGGAATTGTACTCTGCATACCATTTTCAAATTAATATATCACGCATACCTTTTCATGTCAGTAAAATCAGTCTATAACATTCTGATGACTGTGCTGAATTTTATTTTGTAGATATGCCATATATTTTTAACCACACCCCCTGTTGGTAGACGTTTAGGCTATTTCAGTATTTGCTATATAAACATATAATTTTGTATAACCCTGGAATACTCACATATATATATATATATGTATTATAATGTGAGTATTCTATATATAGGAAAAAATAAATGTATAATCTGGAATATACATTTTCTGTACGTGACTATTTTCCCTTGGTATAAACTCCAAAACAGAAATTGCTGTGGGAAGGGGTATGTACTTTTAAAATTATGATGCCTATTGCCAAATTCTAATACCTTTGGGAAAAGATTGAACCAATTAGACTTCCTGTCACAGTGAAAGAGAGAACCAGTTCTCTGCACTTGGCGACACTGACTTATTTTCTCTTTCATCCCTGGGTGCTGCTTTTGGAGGAAGCAGAGTGTTTTCCTCCTTAGCCCTCCCCTCCCCACCTTGTCTGTGGCAGACCCGCTCATTCAGTAGCTCTCTGGAAATTACAACTTTCAGGCAACACCAAGGAAGGCTCTCTAATCAAAGAAAGAGGGACGGATGAGTGCTGTAAGGAGTGTATTACAGGGATTATGGATACTTATCCACTTCACCTCCTTCCCTTTCCCTGTTGCGGGGGAAAGGGCTGGAGGAAAGATTTGGCCTTAGCGTAGCCGAGCTGTACCAAAAGCCTTCTCAATACCAACGCCTGAACTGGGTAACTTGTCATTGATGTAGATCTGATAAGAAAACTCTTACTAAAGGAACAAGGCAGTCTGGGTAGGCATAAATGGGGAAAAAAAGAAAAAGCAACCAGGGTTTATTAACACATAGAGCAAAAGATACCAATGAGCACTGTCCATGCACCTCTGAAAACCAGCCACGAACTGGCAGTGTTTCACTGTAGAAATATCCCCACCTTACCCTCAAGTGGAAACTTGCGCATCCTCCATCCCCGACACAGCCTGTACGGGGCAGAGGCGGATGACCCCTGGGAGAAAATGGGATGCGCTGGGACGGCAGCTGGAAAGGGAAATGGAGAGGTGAAGGATGTCAGCAAAATCAGAAACACAGGATTAAAATTCACACTGGGCACAGTGAAGAGTTGAATTGATTTTGCAGAAATGGAAAGCATGGTGAAAAAATATCCCTTCCTGAATAAAGGGAAAAAGACAATGTAGTGGGACTGGATGGATGGTCAATATGTTTTATGTTGAAAAGCCATCTCAGTGTGAATGGAAACAAGAGCTAGTGTGTAGAGAAACTTCATGAGAGACACAGATGCAACTGCTCGGGTCGGAGGGCTCAGGATCTCCTGAGTGCAGGTGGCAGGACTAGGCAACCCCTGGAGGCGGCCCTGCCGGAGCACAGAGTTTATCACAACGTGGAACCTCCATCCCTCCTGGAGACACGCTAACACTTACTCTGGAAAACTCTCTGCCCTGGCGTGGTTTACCCTATAATGCAACCAGCGGGCAGAGGGAGCCCCATGAAAATAGTGATGTAGTTTGCTTTCAGTAGGAGAGTTGTAGGTGATAACTTTTTCTACCTTTTTTTCCCCACAATTTCTAAAATGAGAAAAATACATTTTATTTTAAAATAGGTCTCCCTCCCTTCCCTCACGCTGGTTCCTGCTATATATGGCATCATGGTCTGCTAGGTCTGGGTCAGGGCACAGGAGAAAGTGCTGCCCTGATTGCAGCTGCTTTATTCATGATCATGGGTGGCGCTAAGGAAGGAAGCTTCAGGGCAGATAAGCAAGGAGAAGGCGTCCGATGCAAATAAAGTCTTCAAAAACCAGATAAAGCTGCCTCTACAGCCTGGATCCTTAAGCTTCTTTCTCGTCTTTAAGTTTCTGTGTGCAGTTTTTGAAAGAAATACCATGCGTCCTTTTTTATGACTATAAAATGTAATTTTCAGACACAGAACGCATTAGAATTTGGATCTCTGGAGTCTTGATGGGTGTACCCTGTTTTCTGTTAAGCATAATTAGTTTCCTGAAAAATGAATAGCAGATGAAAAAATGTTGCTCTTCATTATTGCTAATATATGAAGAATAATTAAAAGTCATAAATAACCATAAAATAGTTTGCCTTTAATGATAACATCTTTAACTGTGTAACATTTTAGCAATTTAAAAGCCTCATTGGACATTCTCTTGTGCACAGAGCCCATTTGCTGGGAAATATTTCTGAATACATGTTGTCTTCCCTTTATAGTGAGACATTGTTACTCAATAATAATCTGCAAGATAACTTCGCAATGGTAATTGTTGTTTTATCTTTGTAATTACAGACATATCAAGTGGATTTGAAACCCAATGGGTCAGAAATAATGGTCACAAATGAAAACAAAAGGGAATATATCGAGTACGTATATACATATTTACAGTCTTTTCTTTGAATAAATTGAACAGCATGTTTGGTTACTGTCCCTTGCTGAAACAGCTCATGCATTTATTATGGGCATGAGTTTATTGGTCAGCTTTCAACAATATGAGTTGTTTTTTGGCTTGGGTTAATGGGAAGTTGAATGTGGGATGGGAAGTCTGACTTACATCCTGACTCCAGTGAGCTGCGCTATAAAGGAGCAGCGGAGGGAGAAAAGCTCTACATTAGTGAGTAATACGGCAAATACTCTTTTGGAATATGTGGATATCAACTAAGATTTAGAATTGCAACAGTGGACCACGGTGTCCGTGACCAGTGGGACAAAATTAGGAATCAACAAAGATAAAATATTTTGTCTCCCTCCCAACTTCATTTGCATCATAGAAATGTATAAAAACAGTTAAAATGGATAGGAAGAATTCAGCATGTGCAACCCTAATGAATTGTATCTGATATTTGTAGTATTCTTAATCTCAGCCTCTGTTGGTGGAGCAAAGCGTTGAGTCCTTTTGGAAGCCTGGCTGTTGAGTGATTCTAAGACATCTGTGACAGGCAGAAGTTTTTTCTCTGTTGGGCACATTACGTTTTCTTCTCTAATGTATACGTGTGCTTCACACGCATCATTCGGGGATCTTCCAGGGAAATCCCCTGGTGCAGGGGTGAGGCGAGCGCTGCAGTGTGCCATTCCTGGCACCTGGTTTCATCTCTCATGGGTTTCTGCATGACCTGAGTTCCTCATTTGCATTCAGTGCTCCGTTTCTACAGGCTGGGCTCCCTCCTTTCTTCTCATTTGAAATTGGTCAGAGATCTTGAATTCAGGCAGCTCTTGAATTGACTGTGGGTCTTAGCATCTTTCAGTGTGATCTGTAAAGAAAACACCTGCTGTCCTTCCTAATCAGGAAGAAATGGAGCATGTTGGAGTGTTTAATCGGAGATCCTGGCAAAGAGTGGAACTGTTACGTGGCAGACTTTTTTCCTCTCTCAAGTTACAAGCTTTTTAGGCTGAATACATAGTCTAGAAATAAGATCCATCAGTTCTTACCTGGCTACATTACTGTAATTGGCACGCTTGTTCTGAATCTGAACAATCTTAGCTGATGACACCCCTGCAGACACCATTGTCTTCCTTCAGGAAGTAGAGACTGTGAGTGGGGTTTAAAAAATATTCTAGCCCAAGGTAACCCAGGTCTCCAGTCTGAGGACTCTGGCGTGTGTGACTTGTGTTATGCACCATTCTTTGCAGTTAGTTCTTTTAGGATTCAAATGTGGAGGGAGTCAGGGCCAGGCAGGGTTCCAGCTAGCTTTACTTTTAAAAGTATGATCAAAATCACCAGCTGCTCCCTGATACTCTGCTCCCCTGGTACCAGAAGAATGCTGTTGGGCTGCTCATTATAGCCCAGGCGATACAGCCTGAGATGGCTGCGCAGTGGTTGTGCCGCAGGCTGGTCCTCAGGGCCGTCACCATGGTTACAGTGGTACCACCCCAAAGGTGAGAGCCCTTCGTAATGATAGAACTCCTCAGATGACATCCATAGGAGATTCACCTTGTGATAAATTATGCTGTGTGTTAAACACTGTCACAGGGAACTTGGTTTTGGTGAACATCAGTTACATGAGGTCTTACCATTCATCCTCTAAATCTGGGCATTAAATTATGAGTGCAAATCATTTTGCTGATGAAGCTTGTATGTCACTGTTGAATATTAGTACATTGGATATTAGAATGAAATATTAGAAAACTAAATGCATTGTCCTGAGTGTTCTTTACAAATACATATACATATTTATCTGTGAGTATGTATACGTGTGTGTGCATATTATACACACATCCCTGTGTGTTCATACCTCATGAACTTTTTTCCCTTTTCTCCATGGAATCACATTTTAAAGCAGTTTAGGCCAGCCAAACCTTGATGGGGGGTAAGTTAATTACCCTTTTGAAATCTCCAGTGAGATTTTAGGTTTTTCATGGCTGTTGCAGGGAGTCTTCAAAGAAGCCGTAAATAAACTAAACAGTGGAGGCACAGTGTAGATCCCCACTTCTGCTCTGCTTCATAGATGGAGGAGAAGCACTCCCAGTTGCAGAGAAAGCAGAGTGCTAATGATGACGAAGGTGGTTCAGTATTGTCCTCTTTTTTCCTGCAGTTTAGTCATCCAGTGGAGATTTGTGAACAGGGTCCAGAAGCAGATGAACGCCTTCTTGGAGGTAAGCCATGCTGGCCAGGGTTCTTTGCCATGTGCCTCTGGTCCCGGGTTGTGGGAGGATTGTGCTCCTCCTTTTGCTGGTGTGGTGGAACTGATCATGCACTGAGAGACAGGGCAAGACTGGGGACGCCACGGGAAGGCCAGGATCACACAGCTCACACTGCCGGCCAGTCTCCAGCATGAGAGTGTTCAGCCCCCACACCCCATCTTTTTTTCTTTTCATGCATTCTCCTGCTTGGCTTCTCTTATTTTTATATTTGTCCTGTTTTTAAAGAGGATGTTTTACAGATCAGATCTATAACCATTGTCTTGAAGTTTCAGACAGACCCAAGAGAAGGCTGTCTTTTGCAGCAGTGACAGATTCCAAGAAGCCCGAGGGCTCAGAGCTGAATGGATAAAGCACAGTCCCTGCAGTGCCCTGCCACCCATCCCTGGATCACTGCTACCTGGGCCTTTTTTTTTTTTTTTTTGAGACAAAGTCTCGCTTTTGTTGCCCAGGCTGGAGTGCAGTGGTGCAATCCTGGCTCACTGCAGCCTCCGCCTCCTGGGTTCAAGCAGTTCTTCCAAGTAGCTGGGATTACAGGTGTGTACCACCACACCAGGCCAATTTTTGTATTTTTAGTAGAGACAGGGTTTTATTATGTTGGCCAGGATGGTCTCGATCTCCTGACCTCATGATCCACCCACCTTGACCTCCCAGAGTGCTGGGATTACAGGCATGAGCCACCATGCCTGGCCCTGGGCATTTTTTTTTAATCCCCTGCCCATTTTCTTTCTGGCTATGTTAATAATTCCTTGCAGATTATCTTCTGTACAGGTACATGGAAAACATATTCTCTTAAGTTGAGTGTTTATTTTATACCCAGCCACCTCATGACAGCTTTTACCCTGTTAGAGAGCAAAGCAGGCACTGCCCAGATCCAACTTTTAATATCAGGGATGCTCCCAGATCCCTAGCAGAGGGTGAGGGATGCATCGTTTTAAACAGTATTCCACTTTGACCAAAAATGAAATTCTTTCTTGAATCTGACAGTATCAGTTGCCTAAAAGATCACACAGGAAACAGCGTTGTGTCCACGTGACTGATTTTCTCTGCACTGAGGTAGAGCTCTCGTGGGGTGATGCCTTCCCTTCACTCAGGCACCTACGCAAGATGAGTGAGCCCCAGGCAGGACACTCAGAAACACCTCGGGGCCTTAGGGACTTAAAATGGGAGGACAGAATGGCAGGTTTCATCCTTCATTTAGGTAAGAAAGCCCAGGAAGCAGATTCTTGGACCGTACCACAGGAGGTCCACACCTTCAGAAACACGGCTTTCGCCATGCACAGGGCCCAGCAGAGCCAGGCTTGTCCTGGATCACACCCTAGTTAGTGGTATGCTGGGAACCGGAGGCTGGTTTTTGTACACACAGTCTCTTCTGCACCTATCACCTGCCTCCCTCTGCGTTTCTTCTCCATGCCTCTCCAGCACATTATTTTTAAGCGTGTCTCTTACACATCTGTGGCCTGTGCATTTTAGGACGCACTGACTCACAGCAATGTTATAAGTGGCTATTGGAATCCACCTGCCTGCAGTATCTGGTATTTTCATCAGGTTTCAAAAATTACTCCACTACTTGAATCTTCTAGATTCTATTATTTTTTTCGGAACTTTCATATTGTGGCTGTGCTGTTTTTACTGGAACTGTAGTTACTCCGTACTGTCACTGACGTAGGAATCATAAGGTGTGATTGTATTTTTTACTGGCTAACCAGAAAAGCTTGTTTTTCCTGTGAAATTTGTCCCCCCCTCCACAAGGCAATAGGTATTTAAGATTTATTTTGTTGTTTTTTTTTTTTTTTTTTTCAGGGATTTACAGAACTGCTTCCTATTGATTTGATTAAAATTTTTGATGAAAATGAGCTGGAGGTTTGTATTATAAACATTATATTATGTAAAGTGGATTTTTTAAAAGTATCTCTCATTACTTTACAAGTAATATTTTAATATTCTTGGATCCATAATGTCCTAGAGAGTAAGTTTAGATGAATCCTGTTACATAGAATTGTTATGGGGTTTGTTTGCCAACGTGTGAGTAAGGAACAGCAAAAATAATCAACTGTAGTTGCCTTGCCCATGAGAGGGCCGTTCTGGAACATGCCTAGTAAGTAGAGGCCGCTGAGCAGAGCTGGGTTCGTGGCCCTGTGCACCAGGCGAGGCAGGTCACCACGACACGTAGAAACGAGGTTTGCAGCAGCCCTTTGGGACAGCAGCAACCTGCTGGCACTACCAGACTGGCCAGGTATCCTCTGCTTCAGCCCCATCCCCCGCACCATGGCAGCCAGATGGGGGTCTTGGCCAGAAGGTGGCTGTAAGCATCTGCTCAGGGCCATAGAACAGACATCTCATTGAACTTGAAATGGTTTATGTTGAGCGAGGAAAAACATCAGAAGGCAACAAGCTAGCAGCAAAAGGTAGTCTAATTCAACTTCATGATGTTGACATAGATGAGCAATCGCCATTTTAAAGACAAAGGACTACCTCACCCTTTTTTGTGTCAGGAGAAGCAGGAGAAGGGAGGCTGTGTCTGTTGAGACACGGTTGGTGGGACACGGCGTGTGTCGCATCCGCATCAGTGAGCGTTTCCCATAGATTGGCTTCCTAGACTTTCATCTCAAAATGGAAAGTTCAAGATCGATATGTCTGTAGAAATCATATACCACAAGCCTGTCCTCTTATAGGTGGGAAACTGAGGCAGAGAGTAGCTGGGTTTTCCCAGCAAGGTTTTGGTACAGTCAAGCCTAGCAACTTTGTTTGCAGACTCTGGCTTAGTTCTCTTTCCATTTCATTCTGGTACCTCTGCAGGAGTATCTTCCATTCATTCACAAGAAGCCCCCCCCGATGGAGAGTTGCATAGTAAGAACAGCAAACCTTAGACTAAATGCTAAATCGACCCAGTTATGCCTTAGCATATGTCTGCAGATCTTAGGCCTCTGGACAGATGAGGTGATTTGTCATCATCAGAATTGACCGACCTGGCAGAGAGACGTTCTTGCTGTCATAAGCACTAACTCTTCTGTGGGTAGGGAGATAACTTTCAGATATTCGGAGGAATAACCTCCCAGGAAGAAACGCAGCCAGGGTAGTGCACAGACGCTGCTGGAACTTGAGAAAATCCACAGGTCCCAAGCGTGAGACTCGAGGGTAGGGAGGACAACTGTGGCGTTTCTATTTCTGATATGACATGCTGTGGCCTTGTGCAGGGTTAGAACTGAGCTGCCCTCGTGACTGTGCTGCCTCTGTGATCTGCCGTGGCAGGTGGAGTCTGGGACAGGTGTCTGCCTTCCTCTGTGGTTACGATTTGGTAGCTTACCTTCACGGCACGGTGACCAAATGCTGGCACTGAGGACGGTCCTTTCTCAGAGTTACATTCACGGCACGGTGACCAAATGCTGGCACTGAGGACGGTCCTTTCTCAGTGTGTGATCTCGCAGCTTGCACATCCTGCTTTTACATTGGGTCAATTTTCTTCCTAGTTGCTGATGTGTGGCCTCGGTGATGTGGACGTGAATGACTGGAGGCAGCATTCTATTTACAAGAACGGCTACTGCCCGAACCACCCCGTCATTCAGTGGTTCTGGAAGGTAACTCGGGGCCCAGCCTGTCCCGTGACCTCTGTGCGGCGCCCTGCCTGTGCTCCAACTTTAGGACTGATGCTGCCACTGGGGTCTGTTAGTGCTTGGACTCCTGGGGTAGGGAACAGGCAAACTGAGCCACCAGCCCCCGTGGCAACTCTTCTGTAACTGTAGCGGACAGCTAGACTTGAATGAAGTTGGTCCCTACAAAAGCACACTGGCCTTCCTTGATCACCTTCTGAAAGTGACTTTTATTTGAGGGACTGCTCCTCCAAAGTGTAAATAGAAATGGGGGAGCGGGGCTTCTCAGGGCATAAACAGGCTTCAGGGGTGGCTTTGCAAGATGTCACTTTCTGTGAAGAAGTCATTTTCTCCATTTTTAAAGTACATTCCAACAAACATTTTGATCTGTATATCTTTCAACAAAGATAACATACATTTGATTTATTGCCTTAGGGCCAGTGTTTGTATCCCGTTCAGCTTAGGATGGAAGTAAAATAGGAATGGGTTAGTTCAAGGGAAAGATAGTAAACTTTAAAAAAAAAAAAAAGTTACCCCCCAAAAAGACTGATTATTTACTTCACCCCAAAAAAGGAATCATTTGACTTTTTCAAATTTCTTTTATTTTTATTTATTTTTTTTGTAAAGATGTGGTCTCACTATGTTGCCCAGGCTGGTTTCAAACTCTTGGACTTAAGCAATCCTCCTGCCTCAGCCCCTCAAATTGCTGGGATTTTAGGCATAATCCACCATGCCCAGCCTTTTTGCACATTTCTGAATGCCTTTTATTACTGTTTCAAATGCCAGCAGGAGTGTAGAGAGATTTTTTAAAAAGCAGAGTCTTCAAATCCCCGTCCAGGTCTCCCTTAGCTTGGTTGTAGATGTTTACTACAGCAGTCCAAGTGACATCACCAGTAAAGCCACCCGGATTCCTGTAATACTGCAGATATGTAAGCTACACAGATTGCTTTAGAACCCCATCTCTGCCTCTGGTTGGTTTTGGTTTTGTTTTTGTTTTTTTCCATTTTATAAAATGATATCTTCTGGGGAATGTGTCTACAATCTGAAATCCCATCTCATAACCTGGCTTCCCCTTGTGATGACACATTTTAAATACTGTGTATTTATAATTGGCTTAGGGGGAACTGGTAAGCCTCGAACACAGAAACATGAGCTCAGTGCCATCAGAGAGTTTGCTTTTTATATCATTTATTTTGGCCTATTGGCAGGAGAAGAAAGAGACAGATGTTGTGATCACTTAGTCTCTGAGATTAGAGAGGCCAGCTAGCATTGTGGCCATAAAAAAACTACTCAGTTTTCAGAGTCAACTGTCTAGGTCTTACATTGCAATATAAATAAGATTAAGTTCCGCCTGCCTGCGTGACAGCAGCATGTGCCGTGGGTCACGTGGAGGATATAATGACCCTCTGCGTCTGTTCATAGGCTGTGCTGCTCATGGACGCCGAAAAGCGGATCCGGTTACTGCAGTTTGTCACGGGGACATCACGAGTACCTATGAATGGATTTGCCGAACTTTATGGTGAGCAAGATACCATTAGATTCAGGTGTTCTCCTGTGAATTTCCAGCCAGGCATGAACTGTGGCCCAAGAACCCCACCTCTCAGGCCTCTGCATAAGGCTAAGTTTCAGGACAATGTGCTATGCATAGGGTGGATAGAAGTTCAATGAAAGGGCTGTTATCTATACTTTATGTAGATAGCATATAGATACACTTTATATAGATATCTCTACTTTATATAGATACAATGGTGCTTCTACCTCAAGGGATTGGGGGGCAGTTTGTAAAGAGATCCATAAGGCTACTCTTTTTTTTTTTCCTAGTTTAGTTTTTTTATTAAACCATTAAAAACTAGGTTTTGCAGGGTCATTCATATGGTTGCAAACTAATGTATAAAGTCACCTCCAGTAGGCAGAATTTTTCAGTGTTTACCGTAGATTTAAAAATCACTCTCTACTTTGCATACTGAAGGTCACATTTTATTCACCCTCCCACCCCCAATAATAGTTTGAAATTTAAATTTCCAGGGTCCAGCGGAGAGGCTGTCGCTGCCTGCCCTTCCACGGAACTGTCGTGTTTGTTAAACTTGGTGCAGTTCCATTCTAGAGACCACGTAGAGTCTCTGCGAGGTTGTGCAGACCTCTGGCTTCCCCCAACATTAAATATCAATGTTGCAGAAGAGAGTCTCAGGCCTCGCCCCTGGGGGCATCCCTGCCCCGGCAGTAGCTGGACTGCAGACCACACCGTAGCTTCGTTCTTCTGCCCTAGGCACTTACATTTCTCTTTCTTTTCTTGCCTAGGTTCCAATGGTCCTCAGCTGTTTACAATAGAGCAGTGGGGCAGTCCTGAGAAACTGCCCAGAGCTCACACATGGTGAGTGAGAAAAACACCTGCATGTCAGCAGCAGTATTTGAACTGCTTAGCTGGGTATGGTGCTGGGCTCGAGGCTAGAGAATGCTCTGTTTCCTCTCTGTAAGTAGCTTAGAGAATTAAAGGACAGTGATGTGGATGAAAATATAAATGGTACAGTAGTGCTAATAAGACAGAATGCACTCGTGTTTGGCAGCAAAGGGCTCAGGCCTCCCTGCCGTGGGGAATTTCTTCTCTGAGCCCAGTCCGTCTTCCCTCATTTTTCTAGGTAATGGAGCTTTCAGTGTTCACCACACTTAGATAAGGCCATTCTCAGCCTCTACAAACACATTGGGTTTTTACTCCAACCTTAAACTGGCTGAGAAGTTAGGATAAAATTCCCTGTACAATCAGCCGTTGTAAAAGGCCTCCTGTGCTCATGAATAACCCGTAATTCCCTGGAATTGAGCAGTAACGTGACTGTGGTCAGAGGAGGGTAAGAGGGCTGACATGGAGCATGGCTGGAGCATGGCTGTCGTCGGAAGGCCCTCTCAGGAGGCACAGTGAGGCAGAAGGGTGGCAGTTGTTTTCTGAAGAGTTGCGTGAAACCCAGCACAAATGCAGACTGGATGGGATCAGTTTCCTGAAGCCGGGTTCAGGGACCTCTTGCGAACTCCAGCTCCCATGCCCCTCATGTTGGTTTTCTGCAAAGGCCTTTATTTCTTGCTCATGAGGAAGCAGCAGGAGTGGGCCTTCTGGAAAACGGTGAGCAGTATAGCCCTGTGTTTCTCATGCAGTGGGGGCTGCAAAGTCTGTTCGGGCCATACCGAGCTAACATAAGCAACCGAACAGTCCCTGCAGGAAACACCCTCCCTTAAACTAGAAGTGCTGGCTAGGAGAGAATTCTCATGAAAATGTATTTGTGAAAACTTGACTGCGAAAGGTTTTTTGCTTCTGTCGGATGCCCCTGCCTCACCAGAAAGGCGTTTGGTGTTTTTTCCATTCGTACCTTTCATGTGATTCTCCGAATGTAATGAATACGGTCATTGCCGGTCAGAGCCTTGAAAGCGAGCGGACTCCAGCCTAAATCCAGAGCAGTCTTTGTGTGTGATTCTCTGCATATATTCGAGGGGAAGAATGCTTGAGTAGTTCAGAGCTTTTATCCAAACAGTATCTGAGTCAAATGTGGTTTTCTGCGTTCTGGCCTCCATGTGCAAGGCACTGGCGTTGAGCCAAGCCCCAGGACTGTGGGTGGCAATGCAGAACGTAAGCTTGTGGTACTAACCGATGAATATTAGGAAAAGTGAAATTATTGGGCACAGTCATCATCTGTGGTCAGGCACTGCTTAATCTTTATGGCAGCCTGTTGAGATATGTTATTCCCCTGGACTGTCAGGAAGCTGGCCCAAGGGTCACCTGACTCATAGCTTCCCAGATCATGGGATGTGAACTCAGTTCTATCAGAATTGGAGTCTGCGCCCTTAACCACTACACCAGATACACTGCCTCTGTTAAATATACCCACTTTCTTTTTAGACTTTTCCAAGGAAACCAAATTAGTGAACCAATTTCATGTTCATTCAGCCCATGTTCCACTGTGATTTCATGGACACATGTCTTAGTATTGAACTGTTTTGTTTTTTTGTTTGTTTGTTTTTCTGGAGCCCACATGATTCTGCCACAGGTAGACCTTCCCAGATAAGACCTCTGAACTCAGTGGTTCTCAGCCTCGGCTGCATGTTGGAACCATCTGGAGAGCTTTAAAGAAATCACTGATTTGGACTTCATTGGTCTGGTGTGTGACTTGGGCAGTGGGATTTCCAAAGCTCCCCAGATGATTCTGGGGCAGACTCATGTTGAAAATTCACAGGAAGGACAAAGATCTACCTACAGGAAGAGAACAGCCCACCTGGCTCTTAGCAGAGCTTATTTTCCTCTTTCTGTGTCGTGGAAAGAAAGCAACTATATAGTTTTCCGAGTGATATTCCCCCCAGACTAACTTGACCCTGATAGAGGGGACTGGCAGTTGCAGGTAGCACCGGCTAGCATGGTGAGGCCGTTCTGCTTCTACTTCTAAATGGCTTTCCTCTCCACCAGACCCTGACTGTATTGACGTAGGAAACAGGAACTTCACTGTCTGTTTCATGGCAAGAGTTCCGCCATAAAATTTCGCCATACGTAGGTTTCATTTCTTCCATGTTTTAGATACACAGTTAAGGTTCAAAATAAAAATCTGATTTCCTAGAAGAACAGAAGCTGATGGATTGGGGTCTTTGTGATGAGGATTCATTTCATTAAGCTTTCCAATAGTGACTATTGAACATCTGACATTGAAAGGGTTTCATTTCATTGTTCTATAAAAGGTCACTACTCGGACATTTAAAATTACTCTTCATTAAGAAACACAGGCCCATCTGCCCTTTGAGATAGACTCTAAAGCAAACAAAAATCATCTCGTTCAGCCCATGCTTCTTCCGCATGAGGACGCTAAAGCCCTCTGAGGACAATGCGCTCCTCAAGGACACCCAGCTTGTTAGTGCACATGGACGCTAGGTGCATGTGTCCTGACCTCCGAAGTGATAGGAACTGATGCTCACCAAGTACTCAGTACCTTCTGGGGATGTTGCTAAGCACTTGATGTGATTGACTCATAGCATCATCACAGCAGTCCTAAGAGGTGGGTGATGTTATGACCCACTTAGATGAAAAACACTAAGATGCTAAGCAGGGAAGCGTTAAATAGCATGCTTCGGAACCTCCGATCTTGACAGCCCATCTCTGCCTCTTCATCTTGCCAGTGTTTCTCAAACCTGAATAATCTATGGACCTTTTTTAAAGGGAAACGGTGGTCACAGATCCTCAAGGATGGGCCTGAGACCCCATAGGGGTCGCAGGCCCAGGACTGTGAAACCCCAGCTGAAAAGCCTGAAGCCACTTGCCATGAAAGGCTCTTTTAAATGCCATCTGTAAATGTGGAGTCCTGTCTTTACTGATATGATAACAGAAAGTGAAAAGCCTCTGTTAGTACTTATTTTTGTAGGATTCCTGGGTTTCTGAGAACCCCAGTTTGAGAAGCACAGTGTTATTCTCTATGTCTTTCAGTGTTTAGTGGCAGTTAGAGAATCTGAGCAGAGTTCACTCCACCCAGATGGGACTTATTCAACATTTAGGGGTTGTTAAAGGGCCCTCTACAGTATTTGGTTTTTTCTGTTGCTGTAACAGTGGTGAGCTTTTCGTGTACGTGCTGCGGAAGCAAGCACGTGGTGGTTAGCTTTTACAACATGAGACGTTACTGTGCTCATTCTTGGAACCACACCCCAGTACCTGGGGGGGCCAGTTTTAAACAGTGTGAGCACTCGTGGCAGAGGCGGCACAAGTGCACCTCAAAAGCTGGGCTGCTCTGGAGCACCCTGGGCTGTACCTGGCTCTCCTGCTTCCCGTGTGACCTAGGGTAAGTTACCTAACCTTGCTGCGTCTCACGCTCCTCCTCTATGAAATATGGATGCAGCGTTACCTACCTTACAAAGTGATGGCCAGGGTTCATAACACTGAGACAGGCTGATGGGCCACGTGAGTACTTCGTGAGGATGGGCTCTTCTTACGTCATAGTGAGCTGTGGCAAGTGTGTGTGCCATTTTCATGACAGATACACATCAGCAACTCCCACCCCACCGGCGCGCGTATGCGCACACACACACACACACAGTCACTCACAGAGAGGTGGAGGTTCTGTGGCTGGAGGTGCTGGCCTTGAGCCCCATGTAGATAGTCAGTAAACATTGAAGGGTGATGACACTGATAACTGTCTCTTGAGCAATTGAGCACTTGCTGTATGCCACACCCACTGATCTGATCCATTTGGCACCCTGTGTGCAGTTTCCCCATGTCACAGAAGCATAGACAGATTCAGAGAGGCGAGGTGACTTGCCCAAGGTCACACAGCTGGCAAGTGGCAGAGCTGGGATTTGAACTTGATCGCATGGACGAGTGGGCTTGATGGCTGGCAGAGGCCATCCATTTGTCTAAAAACCCTCACTATCACCATGGTGATTTGCAGTCCCCACCCCCAGCTGAAGCCTCCAGATAGGTAGAGATTTCTTCTAAATGCAACATTCCATAGCAAATGTGAATTTTGCCTGACTTTGATCAGAGGAGGTAGCTTAGCACTGGTGTTCTGGAGCCCCGGACAGCCTGGGTTCTGTGATGGATCTGCTGTATGACAAAGAGTGTGACCTCAGGCACCTTGCCCTGTGTCTCTGCTCCAGGAGCTCCTGTGCAGAATGGAGATAAACATGACCTGCTTCATAGGGTTGTGATGAAAATCAAGTGATTTAATACAGAGAACAGCACTTGGCTTGAGGCCTAGTATGGAGTAACAGTATTAGAGGTAGACACAGTCTTAATTCGTGTGTAACTCCAAAAGCATCAACTCTGTGTTCCAGGGTTTGGAAATCTTGCCAGTTACTTTGCATTTTATATTTCCCTTCCCACCAGGATTCTTCCAAGATCTGCATCTGACTCTAGGAAAGGTTTCATGGACCGTTCAAAAATGTTCTTTCTCTGTAAATTACAAGAGCTTATTTAGTGTCGATGTTTCATAGCTAGAGTTTTGTTTTGTTTTGTTTTTCCCCAGATAATCAAAATTGTTGGTAAAGGCATTTTGATTCTCTTAATGGAACACCATGCCTTGTTAACCAGATCTAGGAGGTGCTGTTGTGGCTTTTCACCTACATTTTTTGTTCCTTTTGCAGCTTTAATCGCCTTGACTTACCTCCATATGAAACCTTTGAAGATTTACGAGAGAAACTTCTCATGGCCGTGGAAAATGCTCAAGGATTTGAAGGGGTGGATTAAGCACCCTCTGCCTTGGGGATGGTTGTTCTTCAAGCAAGTTCTGCTTGCACTTTTGCATTTGCCTAACAGACTTTTGCAGAGGCGGTGGCAAAGAGCAGCTACAGGCATGGCCCCTGGAGCCGAGCCTTCGCCATGCGCTCGTCCAAGTTTGGATGCGGGAACCAGGTCCCAGCTTGAGTTCCTGCATTTCCCACCACAAATTACCAACTGGTTGATATGTACACTCATTACATTTCAGGAGGACTTATGCTATTTATGTTGTGCCTCTGCAGGCAAAGCCCTTAATAAATATTTTTCATCCTTTCTAATGACAATGAATGGAATTAATCACTCTACAGGTATAGTATTACAACTCATGTTTACTTTTTAAAATGATTTAGACCGATTTTCAGATTTCATTATGATTAAAAATGTCTCATGTAGTTGGAAAAGTGAGATTTTTTTTGTTTTTTTTTTTTTTTTTTTTTTTTTTTTTTTTTTTTTTTTTTTTTTTTTTTTTTTTTTTTTTTTTTTTTTTTTTTTTTTCACTTTCATACCAGGCTTAATGTCAATGACATTTTTATTCTTGAAGTACTCTGACACCTCCACCCCTCTACTTTATTAGAATTAGAAGGCAAGTTTTTGTCCAAAAACCTTCTACAGACAAGTACTTTGAGAGAATTTCCAATATAATATTAGACATAATGATAATTTTTTCCATACTCAGAATGAAAAACTGGGTATTACATTTCTGTTTTGGTTTTTTTGTTTTTTTTTTTTTTTTTTTTTTTTTTTTTTTTTTTTTTTTTTTTTTTTTTTTTTTGTACAAATTTAGGTAATAGCTACAGGCGGAGAGAATTGTAACATAGCATGACAAATTTTGTGTTGACTTGAAAGGAATCACACCATTATTCCTTAGAAGTAATTACATATGCTCTAACACACTTGAGACAGGGTTGGACTACCATTTCTCCTCAGAGAAATTACTTAACCCTTCCTGACGCTGTACAGTCATCTTTTATTCTACTTCCTCTTTGCTGTTTGTAGTAGAGACATTTTGAATGAAACTTGGCACTGCTTGATTCAAAACTGTAGAAACCAGATCCGTTACGTCTCCTGTTTGTATGCGTTTGCTAATGGTAGCTAACTAACCAGATTTTGTTGTAAATGCACCAATTCCGGAGGCACTTTATGTACTACCTGGAGGTCATATCTGGTTTTGTTTTTTATTTTTTTATCATGAACATTAAATGTGATGATGATTTCTTTTCCCTGCACACATCTTTCCGGTGCAATATCTATCAATTGTGAATCTGGCTGCTGGTGTATAAAAACCTGGATGTAAAGCTGAGCCTACAGACCTGTCCTCACCAACTGTTCTGTGATTTCTACTCAACTACAAAGATTTATTTAATGTACACTTAATCTAACCGAGTTTTGTTACCGATGACCTACTGCATGCTTCGATAGTACGTACTGCCTGCATTGTGTCCGTTGTGTGCTAGATTAAAAGTGAGACAGAAGACTTGACCGCCCAGCTCAGGCTGTTGAGCTGGTGGTGGCGGAGGTCTGAGGGTACCCGCACAGTTTGATTCTTTTCTACGTGTAAGTCTCTGTTGCAGAATTGTCGTGCTTTGAGAAAACACCTGAGACAATGTGGGAGTTGAACGACCCTGCTGTCCTTTTTAACCTGTGTTGTCCTAGACCCTGTCGGGGCAGTTAGAGGGCACTAGAGGTTTGATCTCATGCCAGTCATCAATAGGACAAAAAAGTTGTGGTTTGGGGAGGTCTGCTTGTTACAGAAAAAGGACCTTTTGGTGTAAGAAATTGCCTGTTTTTACCCAGCCCTGGGTGGCATGTGAGAAGCCATAGGAGGCTGTGGTTGTAATTGAGTTGTTTAAAGGGGTGCAGAGGCCTAAGGTTTCTAAAAGAAGGTAGATTTCTACAGAGCTGAGTGTTGGTTCCTTTTAATTATTGGTTGAAAAAAGACCTAGTAGTGATCAGAAAATGTAGATGTTATATAACTTAAAAAAAAAAATATTCTCATTAGTTTTGACTGTTGGTGAGATACTTCCTTTACAGTTAACATAACAAATGTCTCAGTGGCAAAAATCCCCTTTTTGTAAGCCCCCATAGTCCAGAGTCAGTTCTTTTAAGGACCATGCCGGAGCCCGAGTTGAGCAGTATGTTTTCTTGGCTTTTGAGAGTGATCGTGTAACTGTAGAGGGAGAAATCCACTTCTAGCCTAAGAACTGGGATTCTACCGTCATCTTGTAAACTGCGTATTGAAAACCACAGAATTGTCACTAAATGCATATTAAGTATTGGAAAGTATAAGAGAAAAATCATTCTGACAGTTTCTAAGCCAGGAGCAAACAAGAATTATTGAAATCTACCCCATGAATGCTTGAAAGACAGTAATTGTGAGTGGCACCTCAGTTCATCAACCCCTTGATAAGATTAGCTTGATTTTAATGACAACCAAATATTGCTGAATGGGGGTTTAGTATTTTTTAAAAAGTAAAGCAAGGTTCCCTAGTCCTCAGCAATTCTCAGTTTCTCTCTTTGCCTAAAATGGTCATAGATCTTGATTTCTCTAAATTGCAATGACCACGCCCAGCCAACTTCACAACATAGTTGCAGGTAGCGGTGAAGACAGTGTGCTGGGTAAGGGGCCGTGGCTGGGTCATTCCTTGGGCCCCAGCCTGCCTGACAAGCAGCCCTGGCGGGAAGAGGGCAGTGTTGCCTCTCCCAGAGGTCCCAGCAGCCACACTGCTCTTCAGCCTGGGCGCTCTTTAGCCTCTGTGCTCTCCCAAGCTGGAGAAATCACCTTAATGCAGTGTCTTTAGTCGCCTGCGGACGCTGTGGTTATTATGGGCCGCTTATACGAAGCTGGGAAGTACATGCCGGAAGTCATGCACTGCCTGTTGTGGGTCTCTTAATATCAGTTATCACGGCTGCCTGTGGGCCCCAGGTATTCCATTCCTGCCCCTTGTTGGCCCGGGGAAGGATTTGGAAAGGGCTGATGGGACAAACATCCCAACAGCCTGTGCATCTCCACTGCTGGCCCCGGAGCCGGCAGCAGTGAGGCATTCGTTCATTGTCTGAGTTATGGCGTATTCCCAGCTTCGGTGCTCTTTTCCTTTTTGTCAGAAATGTTTAATGTAGTTTAAATGCTTCTCTGTAGCCAGTCCTCTAACAAATCACAAGAACAAATGTAAGGCATTTGGCTTTTGTTTCCAGGACCGTTCAGCAGGTGATGTCAGATACTCCCTAAATTCAGACAATGAAGGATACAGAGGGACTTGATATATATTATTTCTCCTATATAAGGACAAAGGGACAGATAATGATGATGATTATTACTATTTTTATTATTTTGAGATGGAGTCTCTCTCTGTAGCTCAGGCTGGAGTACAGTGGCTCAATCTCAGCTCACTACAACCTCTGCCTCCCAGGTTCAAGCGACTCTGCTGCCTCAGCCTCCCCAGGTAGCTGGGATTACAGGCATCCACCTTCATGCCCGGCTAATTTTTGTATTTTTACAGACACAAAATACAGGGTTTCACCATCCTGGCCAGGCTGGTCTTGAACTCCTGGCCTCAGGTGACCCTCCTGCCTTGGCCTCCCAAAGTGCTGGGATCACAGGCATGAGCCACCGTGCGCGGCCTCACAGTGACAGATTCTGAGAAACAGTGCAAAACATTTGACCCATTTTCTACGTCTCCCATTGTTTCATAGACAGTGTGCACCGCTGCTGTTATCTTGCCAGATCCACAGTGGCCCTCTCAAAAGCCAGGTCCATACACAGCAACTTTTTAATTGTTCTAACAGTTACTCATTAGCAATCGACTCCTGTATTTCCTGACAGTTTTGTACTCACCTCTGAAATTTAAAAATGTATACAGAGAGCCTTGGTTAATCAGTTCTGCAGCCCCTCCCCGCTGTACTAGCTCTCCTCTCCTCTCTCCTCCTCACCCTGCCCCTGTACCCCTGTACTAAGAAGGTGGGGTGGGAGGTGCTGTCTGGCATCATTTTCTGCCTTGCCAGTAGGGGGTGCCACTGTGCATGGTAACTGCCTGGCCTGCTCCCTTTCTGACCTTCCCCACCCAGAAGATCACACGCTACCTCTGTCATTCAGGCATTGGGGTACATCCTGATAAGTCATGTCAGAACTGCCAATTTCAGGACTGAGATGTGTTTTTAAAACACAAATTCTTATAAACTCCACTTTGTACTTTAGATTTTAAAACTGGGAAGAACGGGATATTCTTTGGACCACTTTTTTATTTTATAGAAGCCTTAATAAACAGTGTCTATACACTCGCATACGTACGCCCTCACCCCAGATTGTTCTCCGTATGTCAGAGAAAATGCCGTAGCATTAGGACGGGAGCTTGGAGAGAGTTTTCTAGAAAAGGGTTAGCTTCCTGTTGGCATGAAATTTTCCAAGCAGACCTCTCAGTCAGTATCTATCGTTTGTTAAAGATGTTCCACTCAAAGCAATGCATGTTTCAGGCGCATGTCTTTCTGTTCGTTGGTTTTCCGTGTGTAAGGAGTAGCGTTGCTGTTGGTCCCTAACCGTGCGTGCACTGCATTCTCAACCTCGTACCAGTGCGTCGGAAGCCATCCTCATGACGATGACTGTGTCTGCAGGTGTCTCTGTTCATGTGTAAGCCAGCTTTCCCCTTTTACTCAGACTGATTTCACCTAGATTGTCACCGTTTTCCTTCATGTTGATGTTATGTGACTTTGTTCTTCCTTTACTACTATGTATGTAATATATATGCATATATACGTACATATGCTGTCCAAATATATTTGTATATATTTGTATAGCATTTTTACACCTTTATTGAGCAATCTGGTTTCGAAAGGGAGTAAGAGCTTAATCCCTTCTACAGTTTTCTCGAAGCTGTGACCTGCAAATTGCTATCCTTGGAGCCTGAGAAAACCCTAGGAAGGTTATGTCAATTTGCTGTCATTTCTTAATTCAGGATCTATCATCAAATGAAACATGAAAAAACAGTGACTTTTAAGGTGAAAAGAATGTCAAGCATTCCAAATAAATTCTCAATGTTTCATAACTTTTTATTATAAACCCACCTCCTAATAGGAAGCCAAGTCCTATTTGATACAATGGTAAAAACCAAACTACCTTGAAGTTTTTTTTAAGACAACTTATGGATAATGCTCATTTTCACAATCAGAATAGCTTTAAAATATGGTTGAATTTGATACACACAGGAAAAGTTTTCTTTGAGAACAAATCCTTTTCGCTTTTCTTTTTCTTGAGAGATCTGAAGAGAAACTGTAGATTGTTTTCCTGACAGCAAAAGACTAATGTGACAAAATGAAGTCATTGTAAAGAAGTGATGCAACTTGTCAAATATTTAATAAAGAATTATGGAAGCTGGAACATTTTCTACATCAAGTATTATGGGTTGTTTGA